GCTTCTCCGTGTTTTTCATGCGTTTGACGACCTGGAGGGGGGTCTACTGCCTTCCGATGGCTTTTTCTCCAACCTGAATGCCCCATGTAAAGTAGCTCGTAAATATTTCGTTCAACAGATCAGGTATTTGAGTGCCTTACCCATTGCTCTTGGAGCCTCGTTTAAACATGTCACTGAGTTTTTTCTTCAGATTCTTCTTCTCGACTTTGTGAGTGTCTTCTATTATGCTCGCCTCAGAGCCGGAAGTCTGAGGAAAATTCACAATCATGACAAACATTTTGTCTATTTAAAATTCACCATACACTAATGCAGTGGTAAAAATTGCACTGGAAAAAAATCTCTTTATATTTAAATTGCGAAAAATTCACTAAAATTGCGGTCGAAAAAAAAATTCATTTATACTAGTTTATAATTTCTCAAGAGAATGAGGAAATACCTGGAGTGAAAAATCAAACGAACTGTTTGGATCGTCCACGCTCGCTGATTTTGTCAATTTTGTTGTTATTTTTCTTATTATGTTCTTGTTGTGCTTTTTATCACGATGGAGCATTTCACTTTTCGTAGAACCACCGGACAGGCGACTGTGAATATTTACAGAGTTAGATAACCAATACAATTATTTATTCATTTATATAAGTTATCGTAAACTAGATCGTAATTGCTTTCCAATTTTATAAAAAACAAACGATTCTTTTCTAAACAATAAAAAAAAATGGAAAATAGAAATAGAAAATTACGAAGAATATTTTCTAATGTTAATAAATGTCGAAAAATGAAGTGATTGGCTAATTAATCTTACGAGAGAATGTCTCAACTGATCATTAGCGTCATTAATCAACTGTTTTTATAATTGGCTTCATATTTATCCTGAGTGACGAGGAATTTCACTACTAGAAAATTATTATTCTCACCTATCGACACTTGAGTCCCTCTGGTTACCAAATCGACGAGAATCGGCATCGGAATCGAGAGACCCCATACTGGAGAGATTGCTGTCAGTTCCCCATATCGCTTGATCATTTTTCCCAGAGGTTTGTTCTAACGACAGACTTTTCCGTTTGAGACTGGCCTTCGAACGACTCGAGGAGGACCCATGCCCACTGTCATTATCGATAGAACTCGCCCTGGAGAGTTAATTTCAGATTAAAATCACACCGAGATATTCCGTTAGTGAAGTTGTAACACATCATTCAAAAGATTCATCATTTTTTTCGGTGGAATGTAAAATAATCTTGATAAATTAACTTCGTCTTCTTACAATGAACACATGTAACGAGAGCAATTACTATCTTCAATAACTAATTATATACAAACCTGAAAAGCTTTGTAAATTCCTCGAATAATTTAATTCACAATCTCAATTTTCAATTGCAAATGGAAATTTCTCTGAATTGAAGGAAAATGATGATTTATTGGCAATTACCGTTTTCCAAGTTTCTTTCTGGATGAGCTCTCACTCTCCATGGAGCGTTTCGCCTCATTCATCTCCTTGGCGACGTCTATGAGTTTCCTAATAGTGTATTCCAACTTGTCTGTTCTTCCACTGACATTATTGGAGGATCCTTTGAAGCTGTCGTCTTTGGTATCGAGCATTGGTGATGACTCTCTGGACTTTGGTCCCTTGGTCCTTCTCGGTGGTGTAGGTGTGTAAGTATCTGATGCATTGGTGCTCTCTGCTTTGCTACTGAGCTCTGGGAATAGTTTCATCAGATCGTCGACCTGTCGCAGTAGAATATTCATGTTTCTCGCTTCGTTATGCTCCAACCGACGTTTACTCGCAATAATATCCTTGAGCTCTTCTCGTTCCCTCTCGTGACGCTCCTTTTCTCTCCTCATCTTCTCATTGCTCGTTCTCAACTTGGCGTGAGCGTCTCGCAACTCCAGGAGATCACACTGCAGCTGTCAAACGTACAAATCAATTAATGACAAATAAATCATCATCA